ATGGCTCAATATTCCTGCAGAAGACTTCCAACGACTTGTTGAGTCCATGCCACGTCGAGTTGCTGCACTTCGCCGGGCGAAAGGAGGGCCGACACGATATTAAGAGGCATCCCATGACTTTTGTCACTTCAGTGTATATCGATGCACTTCGGAACTTTTTTGATGTTGTACCGTTTCTCCCTTCTTCTAGTATATTCAGTTCAAATTTGAACTCATTGTGACGAGTGGTACTTTTTTTTTACAGCATTTTGAAAGTGAGACTTTAATTACAATCACCCAGTGTATATATCAGTTCTCACTTTGTACGGTTATATTGATTGTTTCTTCTTTTAATATAATCAAATTATTTTAACAAATGTTAAGAACATATTGTTTAAAAAGAGATAAAATACCTTCTTTCTAGTTTACAATTTCAAAAACTGGACTCCGATCATCCATCAAAAACAATTTCTTTCTTTTTCAACAAAAAAAAAAAAAAAAAAAAAAAAAAAGTATTGAGCCCTGCTATCTGTCTCACACTTGAGTCGGCATTGCTTGCGGAGGGAAGAAAAAAAAATACACTGCTAACCCAATACGGTATTGATCAGGGAGGTAAAGAGAAGGAAAGAAATATAAATGGAGATAGAGTGGGAGAGAGAGATGGCAAAGTTTTTTCCTTCTTTTCCGTGACTTGCTGGAAAGTCGATCTTTTGGCACGGAACCGTCCATCAAACGGCCTCCTTACGTCATTCATACCTGGACTGTGACGTATTTGACATCGGGTTCGTAATGAAAAAGTGATTTGATTCTTTCTGGTTGTTCTTTCTCTTTTCTCCCTCTCTCCCACTTCACCTGTATACTTTTTTTCCCAGCACTGACACAGGCGTTGCAGGGAAGGTGTTCACTGGGTGATTTATCTTGTAAGGAAATCGATTTTTTTGTTTTGTTTTTTTGTTGTCGTGGACCATGTGTGCGTATTTATTTGAAGTTAATTTTTGAATTATTTTATATTTATTGGGAAAGATGATGAGATGGGAAACATTGAAATATTTCTTGTATAGAATGTGTAGAAAAAAATGTAGTAGGTATTGAAATTTATTTTTGAATTTATTTATATTTGTGGGCGGAGATGGGAAATATTAAAATAATTCATGAAAAAATGTGTAGACTTATAAAAAATGTATAGAGAGAATGTAGTAGATTAAATTTATTTTTGAATTATTTCATATTTTTTGGTCACAGCGGGGAAACATTAAAATAATACATGAAAATTATGTAGATTTATGAAAATCGTAGAGAAAAAAATGTATCAGATTTTAAAAATTACTTTTGAATTAATTTATAATTTTTTGGTCAGAGATTTAAGCAATTTATGAAGAATGTGTAGAAAAAAACGTAATAAATATTTAAATTTATTTTTAAATTAATGCATACTTTTAGGTCAGGGATGGAAAATATTAAAACGATTCACGAGAAATGTGTAGGAAAAAACGTAGTAGATATTTAAATTTATTTTTGAATTAATTCATATTTTTTGGTCAGAGACGGGAAACGTTAAAATAAATGAAAAAAATATGTAGATTTATGAAAAATGTCTAGAAAAAGTGTAGTAGTTTAAATTTATTTTTGAATTAATTCATATTTGTTTGCTGGAGAGGGGAAACATTTAAACTATTAATGAAAAAATGTGTAATAAAATGCAGCAGACATTTATATTTATTTCTGAATTAATTTATATTTTTTGATCAGATGTGGGAAACATTTATACAATTTATAAAAAATGTGCAGATTTAAGAAAAATGTGTATAAAAATTGTGTAAATAAAAGTGTTTAAAAAATTCATGAAAAAAAAATGAAAAATGTAGAGAAACTGTAGTAGATATTTAAATTTACTTTTGAATTAATTCATATTTTTTTGATCAGATGGGAAACATTTAAACAATTTATGAAGTGTAAATTTATGAAAAATGTGTAGGAGAAAATGTAGTAGAATTTATTTATTTATTTTTGAATTAATTTTTTTTTTGGGTCAAAGAGGGAAAACATTAAAACAATTCGAAAAAAAAAAAACTGTGTAGATTTATGAAAAATATGTAGAAAAAACGCAGTAGATATGAAAATTTATTTTTGAATTAATTCATATAATTAATTCATTCATTAATACTTTACTAATTTTAATTATTCGACAAAACGTATCTGATTGCTAATTTTCACCAAAAGTTCTTCTGGAGAAGTTAAATAATAAGATAATTAACGATGTAAGTATTGAAGTTGGGCAACTCGATTGTAACTGGGTGTGGTTGGATTGAGATACTTGAGGCACAGGTTGGAGGACTCACTGTTTTATTGACACGCGCACGTACACCACACACGTACAATTAGAGACATACAATACTTAACACATTTAAAGACAGATAAATAGAGATTCGTGGATGTACTCCACTTCTAAGCCGAAAAACTGAAACACGGATAAGCGCAGGGTGTGTGAAATGGACATCCTCTCCGGAAGAGAGTTTATAGGTAAACTAATACGCCGGGATGGGCTAAATGTATTTCCTCTTAAGATGAGAGACTGTAAACTAAATGTTTCTCAGCGGGAGCGCAGGTTGCACTGTACTTAATTTTGGGTGGGAGTCTTGAGGGTGACTGCCCATTTCTTCTGAACGCCAAAGGCTCTTGTCAGTATGTAAGAGGAAACACGGTTACAGGATTAAAAAACGTTCCAAATGTTTCAGACCTCTGTATTTCGTTTAAATCTAAAGACAAACTTAATTTGTTGAATGTGTTTCATTTATGATACATGCTATGTTATATTTTAATATTTTAATGATAGGATTATTTGCCATTCATTAATTGCGGTATGTTTATTGAACAAATTTTCCCAATTTTTTTTAAATCTCTATGCCAGTTTCAAAAACTAATAAAGTGAAATAATAATAAATGTTGTAGGTAATGATAAATATTGATTTTTACAACAATTTGAATATGCAATGTGGTTTATTTATTGAATTTACAAAAACTGCTTAATACATTTTAAATCCACGGTTGGTAAGAATTATCAATAATTTAAATATGGCTAAAGAATTAGTTTTATTATGTTTTTTAATTAAAAATATTATAGATAAAATTTTAGAACAAAAATATACCTATGGATTATTAAGTTCTTTATCCACCTTATAATTTTGCTATATATATATATATTTAAGCAATATTAAAGGTAATAAATATCTATTAATTGAGTTAACCAGGTTTAAATTAGAAAAAAAATATCTTCTAAGAATTGCCAAACAGGAAACTAATTTTTTTTCGGTTTTTATTAATGTAGAAGAAATCCTCCAAAAATATTCTCATTGTTAAAGATAAAGAAAGAAAGGAAAGAAATTAAAAATAGAGTATGATGAAAAAATAATTATTAATTAATGTCTAGGTATTTTTTTCAGTGAAGCCTTTCGGAAATTCATCAACTTTTTAACACAAAAACTTTTATGATCAGAAATTTGTGATGCAGTGGTATGGTTTCGCGATTTATTATTTATTTTTACTGTAAAAATCTTTTTGGTCTCGTATTTTGAGCATTAAGGAACTTTTTAAATGTGGGTAATGAATATTATTTTAACTCCTCAAATTAAAATTTAAAAGAAAATAGAATAGAAAGAAAAAAAGTTTAATTTTTTTTTGATATAAATATTTTAATTCTTAGGATTGTGAAAATCTAAAACAAAATTCAACTAGTTTTTACTAATCTTACTCTGTGTATTGAGAAAAGAAGGAAAAATTTCATAAATTAATTTCTTACGCACATACAATATTACGAAAAAAATTACCATAGTACCTCATTTTAAAATTCTACTTGAATTTTTAAATTCTATTCATTTCACTTCATTATTCAGATTTTATTCAATATTTTTGGAAAAATAAAAAAAACCTGACATAATTAAAAGGATTTTCAATTGAAAAAAATCAACTGTCCGCAAAGTTCTTTTTAAATTAGTTAAAGTTTCCCTTAACCTGGAATAATAAACAAATTTTCTTCTCCCTAAAAGCTTTTTATCCAAGCTTTTTACTGGCATTTTCTACAGTTCAGAACTAAGAAAACAACTAAAATGCTTTTTTTTTTTAATCTTAAACTGAGTCCTCCTCAAACTTCCATTCACAAAAGGGCCTATAAACCTTTTTCGATTGCAAAAACTATAACATATCCATCCATGTCAAACTTCCTAACTCTATTAATTACTCCACGATAAACCATTTTCCTAAGTATTATTAAATATACTACTAAAAACGAAAGAAAGAAGAAAGCCTTTTTAAGTGAACTTTTCCAAAAAAAAAAAAAAAAAAAAAAAAAAAAAAAAAACGTAAATAAATAAATCTAGTTGTCCGTAAAAGCTCCGGCGAAAGCACTTTACTTTCAACTTTCCCAGAGTGCATCCAAAAAGACCACGTCAGTACAGAGTGGACGGTATTTTTGTTTGTGCGGTGCTCATTCGAGGCCAGTATTTTCCTAGAGAGAAAAATAACCCTAGAAGCTTTTCTTAAAGGTCCCCCCTGAAGTGAAACTGTTTCCTTTTTTTTTCCTTTCTGTTCCACTGTCTGAAATCTCTTGATGTAGACAAGAACTTAGCATACAAATATTATATGGAGTATGATTTAAACTTCTTCTGAAATACAAAACTGTTAAACATTTTTTAAAATAAATATTTTGTTTATCCCATTTAAAATAAAACAAGCCAACTATTTCATATGGACTCATTTTACTGTGTCTGAGACAAAAATATAAAATTTCTTAAATTCATTTCGTAAGCACATACATAATTAGAAAATTTTTTGAATATCTAATTGAATTTTTAAATTCCATTCATTGACTCCTTTGTTCATATTTATTCATGATTTTATACATTATTTTTTTCCGAACATACAAAAAATGGCCCCCTACAAAGATTTATAATTGAAAAAAACCTTTGGCATGAGCGCCAGAGCGCAAAAAAAATGGCCTTTTAATTCAGGTCAGAGACAATTAACCAACGGCACGCAGGGTTCCCAAGTGGTCACCCATTTAATACTGACCGCGCCCAATGATGCTTAACTTTGGTGATCTAACGAGAACCGGTATATTCAGATCATAATACGGCCGTTGGCCAATACGAAAACTAAAACATACCAAGAAAAAAAGCTTCCGTTAAACATTTTTTTAAAATAAATATTTTGTTCTTCATTAATTTAAAATAAAACTCAACTATCTACAACTATCTAACAAAACAAACTCAAATTTCTTAAATTAATTTTTTAACTTAAACTAATTCCTCCAACAAGCATTTTAACCTCCCAATCATAAAGGAAACCTTTTCGACAGAAAAACTACAACATATCCCTCCATGTCAAACTTCCTAATTCTATTAATTACTTACGCCACTGTAAACCATTTTACTAAGTATTATTGAATATACTACTACAGAAAAAAAAAAAGAAAGAAGGAAACCTTTTTAAGTGAACTTTTCCAGAAAAATGTAGAATTGAAAAAAAAAAAAAGAAAAGTAAATAAATAAATACAGTTGTCCGTAAGAGCTCCGTCGAAAGCACTTTACTTTCAACTTTCCCCGAGTGCATGAAAAAGGGCCAGCGTTACGCCTCGCCAGTACAGAGTGGACGATATTTTTGTTTGTGCGGTACTCATTCGAGGCCGGTCTTTTCCTAGATAGAAAAATAACCCTAGAAGCTTTCCTTAAAGGTTCCCCCCTGAAGTTAAACTGTTTACTTTTTTTTTTCCATTCTGTTCCACGGTCTGAAGTCTCTTGATGTGGATGAGAACTTAGCATACAAATCTTGGTGCGGAGAAATAATGTCCGCAAGGTTTTCTGGTCGGTTTAGCAGAATAATAACTTCTATTTTTAGACTGCGTATTTGAATTCTCCGGGAGTACTTTTGATTTCTTTCCTATTTTTTTTGTATTCGTTATATTAAATAAGAAGCCATTGTAGCGAAATGTTTAGATAAATTGTTAGTTAGAATGTTCTGTTTATAAATTTTTACGTAAAGGTAATAACCTCATTTTTTAAAATTGAAATTATAATGTATTGATATTGACTGGATCACCATCTGAAATAGTTACTTTATATAAAACTTCTCAAATAGAAAACTAAAAAGTACGGGATAAGAAAAGCTTAGGTTAAACATTTTTTTATGAATATTTCGTTTCTTATTATTGTAGAAATCTAAAACATTCAACTAGTTTTGACTCCTCTTACTGTGCACTGAGAAAATGATGAAAGTTTTCATCAGTTAATTTCTTAAGCACGTACAGTATTTGGACCTAATGACCTAGTGACAAGTTCTATGACGCTCGGCGCTACAAGGTTTAGGTTCGAGTACCGGAGGTGCCATGGTTGCTTGTAGTCTTCGGATTTCACTTTAAACAGAAGGTTCTTGTATAATATGACTTTTGGGCATAAGGTTGACAAACCCTACTCCGTAAAAAGAAAAACATTTAATGTCTACAAATCTAATAATGTTGCTGGTCCAATGATGATATATAATATTAGGAAAAAAATTCCCATATAAGTTACTTCATTTTGAAATTCTAATTTAATTTATAAATTATGTTCATTTCACTTCATATTTATGAAGTCAAATGAACATAATTGCGAATGAACATAATAGTTAATAAAATCTTATTTTTCATTGTTTTGAAAAGAATACAAAAACAAGACATTCTTAATCAAAATGACATCCTTCCTAATAAGAATTATAATTAAAAAAAAAAATTCTGCTGACGCAAAAGTTCCTTTTAAGTTAGTTAAAACTTTCCTAAACTTGGAATAGGTAACAAATTCTCTTTTTCTTAAAAGCTTTTTATTCAAGCTTTTTACCGGCATTTTCTACTGTTCAGAAATAAAAACCGCAACTAAAATTATTTTTTTTAAATCTTGGACTAAGTCCTCCAAAAAGCATTTTAACCTTCCGTTCACAAAAGATCCAACCAACACTTTTCGATTGCCAAAAATTACACCATATCCATCCATTTCAAATTTCCTAATTCTATTAATTACTTACTCCACTGTAAACCATTTACCTAAGTATTATTGAATATGCTGCTACAGAAAAAAAAAGAAAGAAGTAAGCCTTTTTAAGTGAACTTTTCCAGAAAAATGTAGAACCAAAAAAAAAGTAAATAAATAAATCTAGTTGTCCGTAAAAGCTCAGGCGAAAGCACTCTACTTTCAACTTTCCCCGAGTGCATGGAAAAGGACCAGCGTTACGCCTCGCCAGTACAGAGTGGACGGTATTTTTGTTTATGCGGTACTCATTCGAGGCCAGTATTTTCCGAGAGAGAAAAATAACCCTAGAAGCTTTTCTTAAAGGTTCCTGAAGTTAAACTGTTTCCTTTTTTTTTTCTTTCTTTCTGTTCCACGGTCTGAAATCTCTTGATTTAGATAAGAACGTAGCGTACAAATATTATATTGAGTATTATTTAAACTTCTCAATTAGAAAACTAAAAGTGCCGAGAAAAAAAGCTTTTGTTAAACATTTTTTTTAAGAAATATTTTTTTTTCGTTAATATGGACTGGAGTATGTGACAAAGATAAAAATTTTCATTAATTCATTTCTTAGACACATACAATATTAGAAAGAAATTACCATAAAAGTTAATTCATTTTGAGATTCTAATTGAATTCTTAAATTATATTCATTGAATCCGTTGTTCATGGTGTTTTCAAGATTTTGATCATTATTTTTGAAAGAACATGTAAAAATGACGTCCTTAAAAGTAATTATAATTTTTAAAAAAATCAGCTGTCCGTTAAAGGTCTTTTTAAGTTAGTGAATACCTTTCTAAACTTGGAATAATAAATACATTTTCTTCTCCGTAAAAGCAGAGGCTTGTTGGCCAATTAGCTAGCGTTTTGGTCTCTGGAACTACAGGCTTCACGTTCAAATCCTGGATATGGCAAGGATGTTTGCTAGGGTTCGAAATATACGTTAAACTTTGGGTCCAGGTCTAACTAGCCTGAAGTGTGAACAAAATGGCCGTAGAGACACAAACTAAAATCTCCGTAAAAGTTTTTTATCGGCATTTCCTAGTGTTCACAAATAAAACTCACTACTAAAATGTTTTTTTTTATTATCTTAAACTAACTTTTCAACAAGCATTTTAACCTTCCAATTAGCAAAGAGCTGATGAACCCTTTTCGATTTCAAAGACTATCATATCAGAATTGTGTCTGCCAATAACTCCTTTTATGGGTTCAGAATGCAGCAAAACTAAATTCTTGTTGTGTAAAACACTCTTATTAGACCTATTCTGCTCTATTTATCTGAAACTTGGACTTTGCCAAGATCTGATGAGATCCGTTTGGGTCTATTTGAAATATTTTAAGGGTTATTCTTGGAGTTGTTAGGGAAAGTGATTGTTTGAGAAGACGGTACAATGCAGAAATTTATAAAGACCTAGATATTTTAAAAATTAGTAAGATCAATAGATTAAATTAAGCTGCTTTTGTATTCAGAATGAGTGATGTAATCCCTGTAAAAAGACTCGTTTTGGGCAAAGCCGAAGGGACAAAGAAGAGGACGACCCATTTTGCGATGGATAGACGTAGTTGAATTTTGTACTAAGGGGAATTGGAGGACCCTTGTCACTCAGAGGACTGGTTGGAAATCTCTTCAAAAGAAAGCCTTGGCCTACCCTGGGCTGTAGTGCTATTAATGGGGATGATCATATATATATGTTGTTTATACATGCTATGGAAACATTATTATGTGCATGTTATAAAAACGTTATAGAGTAATCTACTATTACAGTATATGTATTTCCGGAATAGCAGAGCATTGCTTATCGTTATACATCGTGTTAGCTGCTCTGCTAGCAACTAGTTGTATCAGAATGAAATACCAATCTCTCTTTCTATTTACATTAATTTATTTACAATATTAGTACATACATACACATGGCACCCTGTGCCTCTTCTACTATAGTATTAATAATAATTAATAATTAATTAATAATTATAATAATAATTAAACCTTACAATCGCAGCTTCAATATTGCCATCCTTTCCCAACGCACACGATTAATCAAAAACAACGAGAGTTGATTAGAAGCAAAAACTAAACTAAGATCAACTAATAAACTACCAAAGATCACTGAACTTCTTTAAAAAGTTAACGTCGGAAAATTCATGTAACAGAATGCAAAGTTTCTTTGTCAGCAAAAATTTTTATCGCACGTAAATTAGCCATAGAAATCCAGTAAATATCAATTCATTATCAATTCAATTTAACAAAATAAAGTTATTACCTTAACATGAAAAAAAATAAAGATTTTATAAACAGAACGTTCTAACTAACAAGTTTAGCTAAACATTTCGCTCCAATGGTTTCTTATTCAATATAATGAAAAAAAGAAGAAATCAAAAGTACTCCAGGAGAATTCAGATACGCAATCTAAAAACAGAAGTTATTATTCTGCTAAACGGACCAGAAAACGCCGCGGACATTATTTCTCCGCGCAAAGATTTGTATGCTAAGTTCTTATCTACATCAAGAGACTTCAGACCGTGGAACAGAAAGAAAAAAAGTAGGGAAAACAGTTTAACTTCAGGGGGACCTTTAAGAAAAGCTTCTAGGGGTTATTTTTCTCTCTCTAAAAAATACTGGCCTCGAATGAGTACCAACACAAACAAAAATAGCGTCCACTTTTGTATTGGCGAGGTGTAACGCTGGCCTCTTTGATGCACTCTGGGAAAGTTGAAAGCAAAGTGCTTTCGCCAGAACTTTTACGGACAACTAGATTTATTTACTTTACTTTTTTTTTGCTTTCAATTCTACATTTTTCTACAAAAGTTCACGTAAAAAGGATTTCCTTTTTTTCTTCTTTTTTTTCTGTAGTAGTATATTTAATAATACTTAGGAAAATGGTTTACAGTGGAGTATGTAATTAATAGAATTAGGAAGTTTGACATGGGTGGATATGGTGTAGTTTTTGCAATCGAAAAAGGTTCATCGGCTTTTTTATGATTGGAAGGTTAAAATTGCTTGTTGGAGGTGTTAGTTTAAGAAAATATTTAAAAAATTAGCCGCGTTTTTTATTTCTGAACAGTAGAAAATGACGGTAAAAAGCATAA